CATCTTAGTCTTGCAAATACGTTAAACTGACACGTTCTGTCTGTATACAGATATAATTTCACACATAAGAAATAAAAGTAGTATGCGTGACAGTCATCTTCGTAATTCATATAAGTTTCAATTTTTAGTCGTTCAAACCGTATAAAGAATTTTTTGCTCTCTTTTCATTTCTAAAAATTTTAGAACTTAAAATTTTAAATGAATTATATTAGATTTACATTGAAATTAAAACTGTGTAATTTAAATAATTACAATTGCATTTTTTAGTCGTTTAGATGCTCCCTTTTTGTTACTGTAAAATTTTTAATTTGAAAAATCAAATGATTTAAATTGGGTTAGCATTGAAATTCAAAATATGAAAATTAAATAAGGTAACCAACTAATGAAATTATTTACCATTTTATATTTTCATCGTTTAATTGTAGGCATTATAAGTTTTTTCATTTAATTTCAAACTTTTTAAATTTTCTGAAATTTAGAATATATGCTTGGCATCTATTTAAGAATACTTTATACTTAAATTCAGTATGTAATACTCTTAAAATTGGAATATATTCTTCGTACTTAGTATATATTCTAAATGCTAAGAATATATACTGAATACTAAGAATATATTCTAATTTTAAGAATATCACATACTGAAATTAAGTATAAAATATTCTAAAATAGGTGCCAAGTATATACACTAAATTTTAGAATACTTTTTTTCGGTGCATAGAAGTATGTTCTTACCGACATATGGAAATTTAAAAAGTATGGACCACAGGCGACTTAATACTAAAGATTTAATTGTTTAGCAGATCAAGAAATCTAAAAATCATTTTTAAAAATGTGGAAGTCAAATACGTAGTTGACATTATAATTGTTCGATCAGTTCAATATTTAAAGTTTAGATTGCGTAGAAGGTGATGCAGTCAGAAATTCATTTTTTATAATAGTAAAATTTAATAGTTATCAAAAATCCAGTCTTTAATTGTTTATGAGATAATGTACATAGACAAAATTAAATTGTTTGCATATAGTTAAATATTCGACACGTCAGTTGTTTAAATAGTTTAGAAGTCATACTTTTAATTATCTCAAAGATCAAGTACGGTCAGAAATTCATATTTAAACATAGTTTAACAAAATTTTTTCACAAAATATTTGCAAAAATTCAAATTTAACGATATCTTAGTTTGTCCATACAATGAAGGAATACTACGTAGGAAGGTCTACTATAGGTCAAAATTTAGGGCTTTTTTAAGACTCTTCAATGCTCTATTGCCGAATTTAATGCAAGCATAATTTTGCAAAATAATTGTAAAATTCAATTTTTACGTTATATCAGTTTGATCAAAAAACGAAAGAACACTCGTAGGAAGGACTACTAGTTGTCAAAATTTATGGCTTTTTTAAGGCTCTTAAATTCTCTTATGCTAAATTGAATGCCGGCATAATTTCGCAAAATAATTGCAACATTTCAAAATTAACCATATCTTCGTTTGTTCACACAATGAAGAAATACTCGTAGGAAGGTCTTCTATGTGTCAAAATTTAGGGCTTTTTAAAGGCTCTTTAATGCTTTATTGCCGAATTTAATGCCGGCATAATTTCGCGAAATAACTGAAAAAATTCAAATTTAACGCTTCCTTAGCAAGTTTAAACAATTTTTTTTAAAAAAATAAGCACTTAAGAATTACTTGCTAATTTATGGTTTGTAAATAGCACTGTATTGGATGTTTAAAAATGATCTACCAATTCTAAAAACTACCCCTGAGTAGTTCAAAATTTTATTTTTGATTTTTTTTATAGAAAATAACGATTTTTTTATAGGGTCAGCCGGGGTAAATCCGAACGCTAATTATTTCAGCTTAATTAAAATTTTAAAAAATAAGTTAAACATGAGAATTTTTACCTCAGATCCTCTTCAAGAGATTCTAAGTATTATCCCATTTTTTGTTTGTTAATTAGCAACAGCATAAACAAAGATAACGAGTATTGCAAAAAAGATTGAAAATCAAAGATGACACTCTTTCAGTATTTTGTCTCGTATTTGAAGAAAAAGAAGCTAAAAATTCATTTTATTATTTATAATTGTTTGTTATGAATAGTAGAACAGAAACTATTTTTGATTTTTGTCTTCTGTAAAATTTTATTAATAATATCAGACCATTCGTATTTACCCCGGAAAATTGGAAAACCGGGGTAAATCCGAACGGTATTTTCAATAATTTTTTTTTATATCAGAGCCACACAAAATTGTTTTTATTAGATTACACTATTATTTTAACATTATAAAAGTACAGAGAAAAAAAATTTCTTTCTATATGTATCCTCGTTAGTAATTAATAAGCAGAAACTTAATCTCTGTTCTCTCGAAGGAGTGTTCCACTTTTTTGCCAAATGGTTTGTTGAAAAAAGTTTTTCAGGATCTTAATAAAATTTGGTATTCTAGGGTTTTTGGGGTCGCTGATTACCAATTTGAAGTCAGTTTTTCAAAATTCAAAATGGCGGACGAGAATTAAAAAATTCATTGGATTCGCTCGAAAATTGTTACTCGGGGGGTTTCAGGGTCGCTGATTACGAATTTGGAGTTAGCAAATTTGATCATTTTTAAAAATAAGTTTTAGGAAAGTCCGCCATATTGAATTTGAAAAATTTGACTTTTATTTTTGTATTTGCATTCAATCACTCCAAAATATTTTCTGTACCAAGTTTTGCAAAAATCCGTTATGATTTGATAAAGTTATTGAAGGTTTTAATTGTGTAATGCATTTAAATTTTTAACCTGTTTGATTTTTGTATTTATATATGATGCATTATTACATAATAGGTTTATTATCGTATTTTTTTTGAGTTTTTATATAAGTTTAACAATTGCAATACTTTAAATTTATTTTCCCTAAGATTTTTCTGAAATACAGTGGCGTTCGTATTTACCCCGGTATTTTAGGAAAGTTGCAAAGTATCGAGGTAAATACCTAAAGTAGTCACGTGTTAAACAGTTTGATTTGTGTTCAAATAACACAGCAAATGTTAATTTTTGTTGTAAAATACATCTACAAACGTGTATATCTAAAATTCGCAAAGACATTTGTAGTTACTGATCTTTTGATTTAAATTTGATTCAAGCTCACCGTGTAAGATATATTGATCTATATATGTGGCACTCCACGTGAAAAAAATAGTTTTTTGTTTTGAAAATATATTTGATCAAATCAATTATTCTACTTGATTCATTAAAATCTTTCTAATACTGGTTCAAGTAAATTAAGATTTAAATTAAAATATTTTTTATATTGTATACAGAACATATGTTCTAGATTCAAGAAAATATGAAATTCAAACAAGAAGTTAATCATCTTATGGAGAATGTAAATATCTTAATTGAAGAAAATATTTTTTCCAACTTTTGATTTGTCCAGACAGATTTAAAAAAATTACGATTTGCAAACTGTAGTACTGACGGATTATGAATATTAAAATAAAAATATGTAATTACAAGATGTTATGAACGTATATTTTTAAGTTTTTAAGGGGGGAACACCAGTTGTAACTCAAAAAATAATGCTTTTTTCAAGAATATTTTCCAAAAGAACAATGAATCTTTTTAAAGAATACTATTTATTAGTTAAAAGTACATGTAAAAAGCTGTAATTTAAAAGAAAAAAAAAATTTTTTTAACAAAAACTTTTGGAGATATGAGCCATTGAAGTGGCGTCTTAAGAAAAAAGGCGAATTGCGGTGACCAGCATTCTGCAAGTATACTTCGTCTGAAATACAAAAATGAAATTGATTTACATTTATTATAAGATTATCTAGTTCGTGATCGAAGGATTTAAAAAAAAAAAAAAATTTGACAAAATGACGACCTGTCAAAGTCAAAAGTATGATTTTCGTTAAAAAAATACGGTCGATTTTCAGCTATATAAAAAAAAGTTTTGATTAAAAAAAAAAATCCTTCGATCACGAACTAGACTTATATGTGTAAATGAAGCACACTAAATTTTAAATAAATCGGTTTAATGGTATTCGAGTAATCGTGGTCACCGACTTGGAAAATGTCATTTTGAGAAAAACGCATTAAAAGTTTCAACTTACTTTTTTTTGTTCAGAAGAAATTTTGTTTCTAAGTTACAAAGAGTCATCGATTCCTGGACCATATAATAACTCTTCCGCAGTGGTTGCCGTTTCTAAATCATAGGAAAAGGCCATCTGTCGTTAGGGTCAGGTATGGCTGGCCACCTTGTATGAAGCCACGGGACGCGCCGCTGCAGTGTTCTGTATATCTCATTTATTTTTCACCGGATCTTCTTTGAAATTTACAGACACATTTCTAAATATGTATACTTTAAGAAAATGCACCAAAAAAAAAATCGATTTTTCGAAAGTTACAACTGGTGTTCCCCCCTTAACTAATAAATACACAAAAATTTGAGAAAACGTAAACTTGAGAAATAAATAATTTAATCTAATGCCACCCTGAACGTCTGAAAATTAAACGGTATTTCAAAAATAAATTTTGACAAAACTATTAAAAATACAACATTTTAAAAATTAAAAAATATTCAAAATGGCGGAGATATGGCGTTTTTTTGAAAATACATTTTTCAGAGTGGTGTACATGTTTTCTCAGAAACTACTCAACCGATTCTCTTGAAAATTTGTATACAATTTCTCAATAACATTCTCTATGGCACCAAGTAGCCGTTTTTGAAAAAAAAATTTTTGAGCAAATGGGAGTACACCGCTCCGAAAAATGTATTTTCGAAAAAACGCCATATCTCCGTCATTTTTGAATATTTTTTAATTTAAAAAAATTTTTTAAAGTTAAATACATGTATTTTTAAACTACAATTATTAAAAAGTTGTATTTTTAATAGTTTTGTCAAAATTTATTTTTGAAATAGCGTTTAATTTTCAGGCGTTCAGGGTGGCGTAACCCCTTGAGCAAAGAAATATCTGATTTAAATCTTTTGCTTTTGGCTTTTTATACATTCATAACTTTATGTTTCTAGTAAATGGTGAATGGCGATATTTCCGTAACTGCGCTTTTTTGGGCGAGCCAGGAATTGAAGGCGATGAAAGATTTTGTTTAATGAGAACTGGTACTTACAACGTGTTTATGGAATATTGTACATGCAATAGTAAGGATGGTTGTAATACTGCATCTTCCACCCAAGTACATTGGATCACCTTTCTTTTTATGACATGTGTTTTTGCCATTGGATTTCTTTCATTCTAAAATTGTTAACCGTTTGTATATATATGTTGTATATATTGTATATATTGAAACTATGCTATTTAGACTTATATTCTTTTTATTACATGGCTTTTATTTTACTTTTATTTTTACTTTTGGTACATTTTAAATTTTGTCCAAGAACACAAATATTTTATAGTTACGTTTATCCTAGAAAACTAAGTTTAAGTTTAAGATTAAACATTTAAATAAAATAAAATTTAAATTAAAGTAAGCACGAGATAACATTTAAATAAAATAAATTACATGACACTATTTTTTTTAAAAAGAAAAAATGCTTCCACTAGTGTGATCATTTTATAAGCGAGACCAAGAGATATAAAAGATGACATATATTTACATTAAAACAGATTTTAAATCTTATTCCAATTTATGCAAATTAATAGAAAATAATATAAAAAAAGGCTGAACATATTTTTATATTGCGTGTTCGTAATCAATATTTTCAACTATATGATGATCAAATTTTTACTAGTACCTTTTTTATTGTACTTAGATGTTCAATTTCAAATGAACAATTTTCAGAAAGAGTGATTTCATTCAATAATAAAATACTCACAAAGAAATAAAAAAAATATGTATTTATAATATTTTCAAATTGACAGCAAAAACGCTTGCTAACAGTTATAACGATAAGGAAATATTTTATTTGAAAAATTTAATTTTTTAAATTGCGTACTTATTTCGAGTTTATATAAATGGAATTTTTAATCAAAGTAAAAATGTTGTAAACATAACCTATAATTCGTTTGCTTCCTAAGTACCTTTCTTTGAAGCGTGCTCCATATTAACACAATTAAAGCATTACAAAATTTTGATCTATTGGTTATTCGACATAATGATTCATCTGTTAATATAAAAATTTAGTTAAAATAATAAAGTGCAACTCTTTCTTATTTACAAATAAATTTTATTGTTAGTCGAATAAAATACTTAAAAGTGTTTTGTTTAAGTAGTCAAAAAGGAGAGAATGTCAATGTGAAGTTGCTTATTTTATTTTTCATTATCAAAATTTTATCAAATATAATGTTAACTTGTGATTAACAAAATAAATTTTGATCTAATTTTACGTTTATTAATTGTAAATTAATAATTTAGTAAAATTTTCAATTTCAAATTGAGACTATCCTTAATTCAGAAGTTTTCTGAAATATATTGTTAGGCTGTGTTCATAAATTACGTCACGTTGTTTTTGTTCTTTCAGACCTCCCTGCCCCTTCTTTTTACGTTAACGCCGTTTTTTCCTCTGGTTGTCGCAAATTTCTTGACCCCCCCCCTCTCCCTTCAAGCGTTACGTAATTTATAGATGCAGCCTTTTATTATGCAAAAAGAGATTTTTTAATATTATTAAAATTAAGTAGTATAAGGAAAATTCACTCTAATAAGACAAGTATGACCGGGTCTGAGAAAACTGTGCTGTCGACCAAAATCAACTTTTCGAGAAAAACGCGTTTAAAGTATTTTTAAGACCTTAAACTATAAGAAACCGTCTAATTTTTTTTTTTTTTTTTTGATAACACCGTTTTCTCAGATCCAGTCACAAGTGTGCCTAATTTTAAGGCTTTCATTAAAGAAATTTTCAATAATTGATTTTGATGTCCTGTTTGAGAAAACTTGTAAACTTTTAGTTTTTCAAAATGTATACTGCATTTACAGTTAGCAGAATTTGAAGGTTTAGAAGTAGTTAAGGAGTCTTGTAAATTTTTTACACCTTAAATTGAAGGTTTTTTGGGATTTTTTTTCTCAAAAGTTTCAAAATATAATAAGTTAAATCTTTTAACATGTTTTTATGTATCTCTAGAACATTCACCATGTCTCGAAAACTGATTGACCAATTTCAAAAATTCTTGTTGCATTCTCTTCAATGGTAGTTTCTTTAGCGAGTGAACCTAAAAACATGGCAAACTTTTGAGATTAAAAAATTTCCGCAGAAGAGAATGCAACAAGATTTTTTGAAATGGGTCAATCGGTTTTCGAGTTATGGTGGCAGCCAAATTTTAATACAATTTTAAAGTGTGTCCTCTATAGAAGGAAAATATTAATATTTTCTAAGATCATAACTTAATTTTTTTATTGTCCTAGATATTCAAAAACACATGTTAAAAGATTTAATTTATTGTATTTTGAAACTTTTGTGAAAATAAAATTTAATAAAACCTTTAATTTATGGTTTCAAAAATTTACAAGACCCCTCAATGATACTTTTTACTTCGATTATTATTTTAAACATTTTTCTTTGTAATATCGAAATTATTAGAAATGTCTTCCAAAATTGTAACTTTAAACTAATTCTAACTTTAAACCTCTTCCTGTACCACGTATTTTAAGTAGTGTCAGCATTTACTTATTGAAATTACATTCTGTTAATGCCTGATAAATTAGCACAGAATGCTTACAGAATCAACCACTTGAGTGATCTTTATTATACAATATAGTTTCACTTCGGTTGTCGTTATTAAGCATGTTATGCGAAGCATACCTTACGCACATGTGTAACTGAAAAGCAAATCTTTAATTATTTTTGAAGATATTTTAATATTCCTCTAAAGATTAATTAAGACTGTTTATGCCGTCCATAAAAACGAACACTTAAAGTTAATGTAACTAATATAGGTTTACCAATTTTCATATTTTTCTATTACGTTAAATGTAACAATAAATTGTATATTTATTATTGCAAGCATTAGCACAATTCAATAAAATTTTCTAATTATGTATGATTATTTTATTCACATAACCTCATATAATACGAATACAATGTATAGTGTCTAGTTTTTAAATTTTAGTTGTGTCAATATTATCTTTATTAAAACGAAAATATTTTTGAAAATTAAGTATTTTGTCAACGGAAGTAATTATTTTTTTTCCAGCAAAGGTAAGTGTGTGTTTACCGACAGGTAAAAATTTATGATAAAAAATTGTTCGACAATTAAAAATTTTTAATATTTATTTGGTTTTTGTCTTCAATGGACCCTAACGTATATGTATGAAAAATTTCAATGAAATTAATTAAGATTTGACAAAGATACGACGATTTATGTTTAAAAATTGAATGAAATTTAAAAATTAAAATTTATAATGTTTTTTTAATTATTAAATAAACTATTCGTTTGACAAGAAAAATCCAAAGGAAAAAAGATGCGCCTCTTTATTTCCTACAAGGTAGTTCTTTTCAAAAATCAAAATTTCGAATTTTAATTTTATTTGCATATTTGGGTGTTTGACTGTCAACATAACAGCCATCCGATCGCTCGTCGAATTCTTCTTCCTGGCCACTCAATTGAGTCCCTCTTAAAATATTATCCATAAACCTTTAGCTTTTAGGATTTCAAATAAATCTTAAAATTTTCGTAAAAAGTTAAAAAAATTAACTACTAATTTTTTTATTTTTCTATTTTTTAGGGAAATTTTTGGATATCTGGAACCCTGAACAATTAAACCTTCCAAATATCTTATTTTCATGTCGATATTAACTATTTTTTTCACATGAAATAATTGTTGAAATTATTTATTAACATTTATTAATAATAATGTAAACTTATACTAAGCATACAGTAAGTTTACAGGCGGCTTACAGTAAGTTTATTGTAAGCTCAACTGTAAGCTAACTGCAATCTTACACTGTAGCTTACGGTAGAGCGGACATTTGTAATTCACCTTAACCTCACCTGAAGTTTACGCTGTAAGCTAACGAATCTTAGGTTTAAATTCAAGGGAAAGTTACACCAAGGTATTGTAATTTAAGGGGTTTCAACTCCTATTTTTTCTAAAACGTAACGTTATGGGAAGTTTTTGACCCCGGACCCGTGTTCATTACGAAAAATTCATTCTGAAACACTATGTTCCATTTTATTTGTAGAAAAAACATTGAGATTTTCAGGGCAGAGGTGTCAGTAGCAAGCACTATTAGCAATAAGTGATAGACTGTTTCCGAATTGGGATTTTTAGGCGTATTTTTGATAAAGTAAATCTTAATTTTAGTGCAATAGTTATTTTTGAATACATAACGTCTTCAAGGTCATTGTTAAATTACTACATTTTTGTATAGAAAACTTTAGGGTACGGTCACACTATCTCATGCATGCAGAAAAATTTGGCTGGTCACACTTCAACGAAATCTAGTGAATGTTTAGTAACTTTCTAGTTACAAACGAAATTTTTGGAAAATTACTAGAAAGTTACTAAACATTCACTAGATTTCGTTGAAGTGTGACCGGACAAATTTTTCTACATACATGCACAGTGCATGCATGAGATAGTGTGACCGTACCCTTAAACATGTTATTTTAAAACGTGTTTTGCGCGCGCAGTGCAATGCAGCTCAGACAATTTTTAACCGATTATCATGAAACTTAACAAACAAACATCTTCTATAACGTACTCAAAGAAAGAAGAAAAAAATGGATATCAGCTGTTCGCAGAGTTTAATTAATTATTTAATTTAATTCATGTATTATTCTGATAATTATAAATAATAATATAAATTAATTAAAATAATTAATATCAATAATAATTATTATTTAATTAAAAAACAAAATCCCTATTTTTCACAAATGACGTAAGTTTCTTCCTTTAAAAGGTAATATTTGCGAGTTTATTTTTTTAAGTTGTTATTTACATTCCCAGGATTAATTTTGTGCAGGAGAAAAAATTTAAATAAGCGCATGAAACTGACTGTCCCCATTTCCCAAGATTCAGAAAATTTCATAAAACTTGGTGTAAATGGGGACAGCATAGTTTCTAAGAAAGGTTTAAGAAAAAAGTTTCCTTAAGTATATTACTGTATTAAGGGATGAAAAAACTTCAAAAAAATTGTAGTTAATAATTATTTATGACATTAATTATTTATTAAGTTAATTATTTGTCATATTTAAAATAAAATAAAATATCTAATAAAATCAAAATTTTCAAATGTTCCCGCGATGCGCTGATGGCTCAGCTCTGGACTTTAGTTCGCTCAACGCCACAGGGAGGGCGAACATCATAACTGTTTCTCGCAGTTGAGGTGCCATTAGATTGGTATATAAGCAGTGATCGAAAATTTTTTTCTTGTCGAAATTTTTTTTCCTGCCCGATGTCTTTCCTATTTATTGGATTTGAGACAAATTCTTTTTTGGAAGAAATGGTTTCACTAATACTTTGATGACCATTTTTTTATTTTAATTTAATTATTAATTTTTTCCATTGGGTTTTTAAATTCATTTGCTTTCTTTCTATTTTTCCGTATTTATGCTCCTTCTAAATTTCCAGAATATTTAACGATTACATTTAACAAATCTTGAATTTTTAATTTCCTTAAATATCCCCTCACAATTGGGATCTGAAATACTGCGATACGCCATCTGGTGAGAGCCTTGTTGTGGTGGCCATGTTTTCATTACGTCTTTCTCTAACATATGCAAAAGAAAGAGATAAAAAACCAAAATGGTTGTCACAAGAAGGCTCAGGGGTGGGTCAGTTTCGCGTGATTTCTGATCCCAATATGCCAAGAATCTTTAATTTTAATATTTAACAGAAATTCAAATCCAATATTCAGCCAACCTCTGTGACTGACCTTTATTATGCGCGGACATTTAAACATCAACTCAACCTCGTTTAGACCTTGCGACTCAAGTTCCCCTCGTCAAGCGAGGTTCATTTAAGGTTCAGGGAAGTTTCGGTGCTGTCCGGGTATACGTATGTTTATACGTATAATTATACTTGTCAATATTTTATAATATTTAGGTACATATTGATAAACAAAAATATATTCCATATTTATATATTCCTAAATATTAAAATTATAGACACGTATAATTCTTGTTTCAAATTCGTATGTCTTATTATACGTGTTTTTTTTCACTAGGGTACCTGCCAAAAAATTTTTATAGCATTTATAGACAGCAAAAATTCAAATAGTAGGTAGTGTCTGGGAAAACTGATAAAATTGACCCCCCTCTATCTCCCCCGCCCAAAAATTAAAAGTAATTTACATTACACGTAAAATGCCTCATATATGGTACCAATAAAGCGACGAATGAATTATCAATATTTCGGGGTAGTATTGAACGTAAGGGTGGTTTTAATGGGTGAAACGTGTTAAAAAAGTTTTTTATTCATATTGAATACTGAAATAATTAAATCTAATATGCATCATGTCTCTAAAATAACGACAAAAATCCATAGGAAGCTATTGCGCATAAATATTGTTTAAACTAATTTATTAATATTTATCCTTACCATGTAAGCTTACCTTGTAAACTTACAACGAATTTACTATGTATGTTTACAGTGATGTTACCATGTAAGCTTGCAGTGCGCTAACCTTGTAAGGTTACTGTACCCTTACCTTACCCTTTTTTGGTGATTTGTCCCTTTTTTGGCGGTTTGGCCCCTTTTTCAACTTTTTGTGATTAAAAATAAATAAATTTTTTTTAAAAACGCACACAGCACAATATCTTGCTGTAAGCTTCCCTTGAGTTTAAACCTAAGATTTGTTAGCTTACAGCGTAAACTTCAGGTGAGGTGAAGGTGAGCTGCAAAAGTCCTCTGAACCGTAATCTGCAGTGTAAGATTGTTGTCAACTTACAGTTAAGCTTACTATAACCTTACTGTAAGCTTCCTGTAAACTTACTGTAAGCTTCGTGTAGTCTTAACCCATTAACGCCCAAAAACTGAAAATTCTTTGTACACATTCAGGCTACGTTATTTTAAGTAAATCGGTCAACATTTTCTGATTTTGTTACTCGGGGGTTTTTGGGGTCGCTGATTAAGAATCTGAAGCCGGTTTTCAAAAATGCAAAATGGCGGATCCAATATGGCGGATGAAAAAAATTTTAAAAATGCATTCAATTGGTCTGAATTTTCTTACTCGGGGGTTTTCGGGGTTGCTGATTACGAATTTGAACTTCATTTTGAAAAATTCAAAATGGCGGATCCAATATGTCGGATAAAAATTTTAAAAATGCATTCATTTGGTCTGAATTTTCATACTCGGGGGTTTTCGGGGTTGCTGATTACGAATTTGAACTTCATTTTTAAAAACTCAAAATGGCGGATCCAATATGGCTAAATTAAAAAAACAATTCATCGTATTTACATGAAATCAGTTACTCGAGGGTTTTTGGGGTCGCTGATTAATAATCTGATGTCGGTTTTCAAAAATACAATATGGCGATTCTAATATGACAGATGATAAATGTAAAAATCCGTTCAAATAGCCTGAAGGGATTTTCAGTTTTTGTCTCTTAGTCGCCCATTTAGGCGTTTACCAATTCTTACCACGTGGAGGTAGACAAAATTAAGAATCTTATTTTTTTTTATTTTTTTAAAATATAATTTGTTTATTTTAGATTTAATTATTAATACTGAATTAAAAATTTATTTATTCAAGTGTCTGAATATTTCTAGTGACATGCACACGGAAAGAAATAGTTAGTAAAACTTTCATGAACTAGATATTATCTTCTGGATGGGGCCGAAGTTAGTAAATTTTTAAACTTTTTCGACGAATTCATCAACTTTTTTCTGTGCGCATGCGCAAACATTGGATTTTATGGAGGTAGTTGTTATGGATCCGCCATTTTGTATTTTACAAACCCGACTTCAGATTCTTAATCAGCAACCCCAAAAACCCCCGAGGAACTGATTTCATGTAAATACGATAGTTTTTTTTCAAAAATCCGCCATATTGGATCCGCCATTTTGAGTTTTTAAAAATGAAGTTCAAATTCG